ACGTGTTAGGTGGCGCTTTCCTCCGCAAGGCAGGGAATAGACACAGCGGGGCTTGCGAGAATCACAAACCCTACAGGCCCATCCATCACGAAGCGCAAGGCCCTCAAGAAACAGGTGGATAAGAGCAAGGTACTGATAGTCACCGGGACCTTGTTGCTTGCCGGACGCATACTCTGAGGGATGTTTTGCTCCTGGGCTCCAGCTTTCTCATTCTGCTTGGCTCAGAGCTCAATTCAACTCAGCCCTTATGAAGGGTAGCTTTTCTGAATCCATCAACATGACTTAAAACCATACACCTACTTGCACCACCCCAACTGATGCAGTCAGCATAGATGGGCGTCATGCTTGAGTAGTGGCTGAAACCAATGCACTTGTGGAGCCAGACCAAACACGCTCGTAGGCGGTAGGTCTTGGTAGAAGGAACTGGGAAGGTAGGCTTGGGAATCCGAACATTGGCTTTGGGATTCTTCCGTCGCGTGCCTTCTTTTGTTCTAGACCAGGACCGAACAGTTTATGTGCTTGTCTACATCCCCCCATTGCTCAGTAATGAAGCAACAAGCCTCAGAATCTATGCCCAAGCTTCCAAAAACCCAAGCTTTCAACCTGCAAGCACAAGCGAATCCCCACCCGACACTTTGCACTCTCGAACTGGCTAGGAACATAGCTGGACAGACGTAGGGTCGAACCCCTCAGCTCATGTGAAGATGCTCTGACTCTGTTCCGACCCCAGGCATGTAAGATGAGGTGCCGGTTGCAAACGGGACTGCGATGGGGCGAGTTCAAGGGCTTCGGCAGTTCGGATGCGACGTGTGAAGTCTTGCATGTTTTTTGGGTTATGGGCTGGCAGGTCCAGGACTCCAGGTTTTCGGGCTTTGTTTTCTTTGGTTTTCTTGGGGCTGCATCTTCTTGCGTAATCCTATGTTCGCAAGGGGTCGCAATCCCGCAGGCCTCAAGAGTTCTCTTGGGAGTGTCAGGGAGTTGCCAGCCTCTCCTTCTCTCGGCCAGTCGGAGTGCTTCACCTGTCCTGTGTTGTTTCGGAAGCTTTTGGGCAAATGAAATTGGCAGCCATACTCTGGCTTGCAGAGTACCCTTAGAGGCACCCTGACTGGAGCGCGAAGACAGACGTGCTCTCCCGAATCCTCTCGGCCTTAGGTTTCTGTTTCCAATTTTCTGATGGCGCAGGTGCTCCGTCATGGACGAAGTCCGTTGCAAAGCCAACGACTGCAAGTGGAGTGACGGAGATTGCGCGGAGACTTCATAGTCTAAGGGTGTGAGAAGATTGAGAAGATACTCGGACCCTTTATCAAACGGACCCCTCTTTCCACCCGCCAGACAAATTAAGACAACTGAAAGCTTCGGACTACGCGGACGCTTAGATGGGTCGGAGTGTTGAGGTTTACGAGTTGCACAGGCTTGCTGTTGGATACTTCAGGGGTTCTGCACCGTGCGCTGAAAACAAGCGCCCGGCCGCCAAAGAAAGCGGTTGAAGAGCAGAGCTGGCCATTTGAGCCCTCTCAGCATTCAAAAAGTGCGTTTGGCGGAGTTCGCAACGACAGCTGGAGGGAAGTAGTAGGCTTTTCTCAGCCTGCCGGCAACGAGTGGTCAAGACCCCAAAGTCGTGCACAAACAAGCCGGGTGTTCCGCTGGAACAAGGTAGATCGGCGTCCTGTCCAATCAACTCCTAGCATGACCACTGTTCAGTTCAGTTCTCGAGTTCCACCTGCAAGAGGTTCATTCTCCTGATTCGAGGGAGATCCCAGAATTAGGCCCGACCCATGGGATGTCATGAAGAACGTTGCTCCATGGCTCAGGAGCTCCAAACGCGAGCTTCGTTAGTTTTTGCTTTCTGTTCATTGCATCCCGCTTGTGTCTGAGCCTGAGACGGTTTGGGTGTGTATGACCATGATTACTCAAGTACTCGGGCGCCTGCGAAGCCAGCGAAGCTGCCTCTGACCAACAGCGCTTCAACCGCTGCAGGAACCTCCTATAATCCGCTAGAGAACGTTCGATCTGGCAAAACCCACAACCCCAAACGGGGCGCGTTCTCAAATGGGAAGAGAAGCCAATATAAGCCCCAAAAGCCTGAAGCCCCCTACAGACCTGAGTCTTCGCCTTCAAAGCCTTGAACCTGAAGCCCTAAACCGCCATCCCCCGAGCCCAAAGCCTAAAGCCTTTACCCGACCATGCAAGCAGGTCCTCAAGCCACAAGCAAGCGCAACCATGTGTCCCAGCTGTGCCTAGCGGCCTAGCCCTCCTGATCTCAAGAGCACGAAGTGGCTTACTGCGCTTCTGTCGGGGCTTGACATGCTTCGAGAACACCTCTTCCGCTTGATATCCCCCGGCCACAGTGCCAAAGTGTGCATCCGAAACAGCACCAGGAACATGGTACCCCCTTCAGCGTGGGTGTGGGTGCTGTTGGCCATCTTTGCCCCAGCGAGGGGCGAGGAGGCCCGGGTGGCAAAGTTGGCTTCGAGTGGGTTTTCATATGGATTTGGGTTGAGACGAGTTGCTGCTTGCATGATGAGGTGGTTAAGGGGCGTAAAGATCATAAAGATGGTGGCATAGGGTCCTTTTCCTGGTCCTCCGCCTTACACCCCAGCGTGTTCCAAGAACTCGCTTTGCTTGGGGGAACCGCCTGCCAAGTTGCTGTGGCACGCTAGGACAGCTAGGACCTTGTGAGTCGATCGCAGTGCTCCGTGTAAAGTACTTGAAAAACTCATCGCCTAGACTTGGACATCCAAACAATCTGGGATTTGTGCATTCTGCAGGTTGGTTCAAAGAATGTTTAGTTTTTCGCGAACCGGCCCGAAACACTGGCCGGACTGGTGGGCACAGCGCAGGCATACAGAGGCATACAAAGGCATACACAGGCCATAGGCTTCAGAAAGCTGTCCACATTCTGCATGCAGGACGAACCAACAGGCCAGTGGCAGCATTGCTCTCGCTTGGATGACGTACTTACTCCCCGACAAGTGAAGGTTTCGTCTCGCGTGGGGTGGTCGACTTTAACGTGGGTCCTTGGAGTTTAGAGTGGCAGGGCTTGGGAGCGAGCGTGGTGGAGTGTTGACCTTGCGTTGGAAAGCTACAAGTTGCTTCTTTAACCATAGATCACAAAGCCCAAGCTCTGTGTCGCTACTTGCATTCATTGTCTTGCTATGACGTCAATCCTAGCAGCGCGAGTGTAGAATCCTGAGATTCACAAGCCCCACTTCCTCCAAACCACAAAGCCCCCAGAACTTCTTCCAGCCTAGTGTCGGTGGGACTGTGTCCTGGGAGTGATGGTAGGCTTTGGGATGGTTTAGGGTTTAGGGTTGGTTAGGCTGCAAGGTTTAGTTCATTGGAAGGCCTTGTATAATGGGCGACCGGGCACTTTGCACTCTAAAGAGCGCAGGCCCACAGAACCCCTCAAGCACCCTGCCAGGAAACACCCAGTAGCAACACCTCCCAAAGCGCAGAAACCCAGCTGTCATCAGGGCCCCTGACCATCAAGACCTTCGCCTGGAAGGGCGGCAACGTAGAACGCATCGTGAGCACCGTCCGCGAAGAAGAGGGCGAAGAAGAGGCCAGCAGGGCGCAGTCTTCAGGACTCACAGGGTTGAGAGTTTGTGAGGAGCATCTTGCTGCTGTTTCCACGGACTTCTGGAGAGCAAGTACCTGTCAGGATCTTTGGACAACTGGCATGGTTATTTGTGCAGCCCCCTGCGGCACAAGCTTGAATACCATACAACACCATGCATCTTCTAGTACATCCGGTGCAGCCTCAACCGCAAGCCTCACGCACCCTCTTAGAATCTCATACCCGGTCCCAAAGTGAGAAGCCCAGCAGAACAATGAACCTTCAGGACTTTCGTGTTGAGTTGAGAGTTGAGAGTTGAGACATCTTGGTTGAAGTACGGCTTGGAGTTCCGAAGCACTGGCCGTGAACAAAAGACCTACATCGCAGCCACAGCAGGATAGATTGCCCACCCCTGACCAAAACCCTGCTGCGTGGAGAATATTCTTAGAAAGCCATTCCTCGGAACATGGTTTAGCGCACTGACCTACTTCTACAACTGGCAGAGGGTAGGTTCTGAGGGGGTGCATAGTAACAATTAAGTTTCAACATACATGGCAGCATGAAAGGTTGCCCTGAACCGTTCGAGATGTGTGGTTTAAGATTTCGGGTGTGCGGCCCGGCCCGACATCTGAACCCCAGCTGCATGATTGGCAAGGGCGCGGAGGGCCGGTTGAAGAAAGGTCACATCAAGCCGGCTGCAGCCCCAGATAGACGTCGAGCAATGGAGGTAGCGTGAGGATAGATGTAACGACAAAGGTGGCACAAAGAATGCTGATGTGGTAGGAAGTAAAAGCACATACAGTCATCGCAACTGATACTGCAAGGCTGCTTGGATAAAGTAGTGCCAGCAGCAGACAAACTAGAAGCAGACAGATCTGCTTGTCATGCGGCGAAGTGTGATTGAAGTGGTGCGGGGAGGCATTGCTGCCAACATAGCTATATGCCAACTTGTGCATGTTTTTGGATCTCTGATACACATAGGCGCTTAATGTGAACCGTTGGCGTGCTAGCATTTGACATGCAACACAATGAATGATTTCCACCGCTCTTGCTGTAGGTTGTTAACATTAAGCCATCATCCCTTTGCGTTGAAGGAATAAACGCCTGATCCTCACTGGGACTCAGGAGTGAACTGTGAGCTTACTGAGTAGACCTCACGGACCTATCGACTGCAAGGGCATCCCAAACAAGGCCATACTTAGGGCCGAAGCTGCCCAGCTGTGTGGAGACCAGCTTCTGTTTCACAAGTTCGTGCCGGGAGGTTGTGGAGCTGCCTCTTCTTTGATGGTTGGGGCCGAGGTTCTTGATTTCTCAGAGCCTCTAGATGCTTTTGCTTGGAAGCCCCAACAAGATAAAGGAGAATGGTGCTGGTCGTGGTAAGGCCAGGCCCACCTTCCCGCTGCCGATTAGAGTCTGAGGGTTTGTTTGAGAAGCAGATGGGGTCATGGCCGTTGCTGATGGAGATTCCTGCGCTCATGATGTGGTGTTTGCCGGAATGTGCTGCCAGTGCCACCGCAACGTGTCCAGCCTTGCCGAGAACATGGCCAGGCAGCGTCCGGGCTTTCTCACAACATCCTTGGATCTGCAAGTGTCTGCATCTCTCCTGTCGAGCCTAGATGCTGCCGAGCAACTGCGTCGGGCTTCCCAAAAGAAGCTGGTGCTTATCATTGACCTGGACCACACCCTTGTGACGGCTGACGTACGTGACATACGGAATGCCTCTGCAGGGCTGCGGGTTCGAAAGCGTCCCGGCGTAGACGGCTTCCTCCAGGGCATGAAGGATACCTGCGACATGTACGTCTACACGCAAGCTACTGGTGCCTACGCGCAGAGGGTCCTGCAGATCCTCGACCCAAGAAGCAGTTTTTTCGGAGATCCGCCGCGGATTTTCCATCGAGGCAACACTCCCCAAGGCCTGAAGGACCTCAGCGTTGAGGTAAAGAGATTTGTGGGTGCCATGTGGGCTGTTGCGCTTGTTCCCCAAACTGTGTGGCAAGTCCAAGGTTAAGAGTAGGAGGGGTTGGATCACTGCGCACCCGCGGCGCCGCTGCCCACGCACACGGCCCGGACCAGAGGTTTTTCTCGTGTCCGTCGCATTTTGGTCTCAAATGGTGCTCTCGCCTTAAGCCGGACGTGGCCGCGGTCCTCGGAGCATGGGTTGCGGCAAGCTCTTCGGGGTACGAGTTCCCTAATCAGACTGGGTTTGGCGTGCTTTTTACAGTGGGCTTGGAGGCTGCTTTTTTGTTGGAGTCATCCTTGGAGTTTTCTTTGAGACTCTTACACTGCTTGGGGCCTACGCTGGCATAACAATCGGGTTGCGGGATCTCAGTTCGTTCAAGCATTCCCTGTATGTTTTCAAGTGTGTTTTTCAAGTGTGTTTTCAAGGATGCCCTGCAGGACTTGGCACAGATCTTGCCGAACGACGCCTCCCATGCCTTGGTTGTGGACGACCGCGAGGAGGTTTGGCCTTCAGCAGTTCGCGAGTCACAGCTCCTGAAGGTGGGTTCAGGGTTTTCGGTTTTAGGGCTTTAGGGCTTTAGGCTTTTAGGGTTTTAGGCTTTTAGGGTTTTAGGGTTTCAGGGTTTCAGGGTTTAGGGTTTGAACAGGGTGCTTGTGTTTGCCGCTTTCCATCCGTGGCTTCCATTGCTAAGCCCTCCAGCGCTCTTCTTGGTAGCACTAGAGAAGCGCGACAAAGAGCCCAGGTCGTGCCCTACTTGCCGTTTCCTGGGGATGCCCGTCAAAGCGTGGACTTCGAGGGTTTCCTTACGGGGTCCAACCGGGCAAGGGAGCCGCCACGGACAGAGGCCGGCCCTTTGTAGCTGCGGGTGTTCATGGTGATAGTGGCATCATTTCGGGTGCATTGGGTGTACATGCGGCTCGATGGGAATGTAAGGAGGACACCAAGCGCCAGAAGATCGAGGAGCCCGTGGCCTTCTGTGACTTGGATTGGCCTGGGCGCACGAGAGACGACCAGTTCGAGCACCTGGGCGACATCCTGCGCAAGTTGCACGAGGCATGATCTGTCGCAGAAATTTTCTGGATGTCCCAAATACCCTGCTCCCACAGTACTTCGGCGCACCGGCTCGCAGGCGGTCTTCCCTGCCACGGATGACGGACAGGGTGGCAGTGTGGCCTCGACGCTGCCCGTGCTGAGGTGACCCTTGTGATTTCAGGGCAGCTCAGACGTTTAGGGTTCAGGTTTAGGCGATTTCGGATGCGGTGTCGTAAGATCGTGACAGTGTTCACGCCCAGGGGCCTCCCATGCATCTTACAGTCTTACAGCCTTCAGTTGCAGCCCGTTTGTCCTTCCATACCTTCCACCTTCCAGAGTGGGGTTTGAGTTGGGTTGAGTTGAGTAGGACTCAGAGCTTTTAGCTGGTGGAAACAGTGTCCTGGAGCTTTCAGGTTCAGTGGCTGTATGGTCGGTTGTCATGGTAAGAGGCGGAAGACGCTTCAGGGCTGCCGCCTCTGCCTCACCGGCTTCTGCGGAGCAGCCTCCGAGGTGCCGTGGCCTGAACGAATCTGGGCAGATAGGGTTTAGGGTTTAGGGTTTAGGGTTTAGGGGGTTTAGGTCTTGTTCGTGTGTAGTTCGCGTGGGCTTGAGGAAAGGCTCCAATAAGAGTCTCTTAGGACTGGGGGCGGTGATGGTGAGAACTCCGGATGATGCGACGCACGTGGTGGCCGCAAGGCGGACTGAGAAGTGGGCCAGGGCACAAGCTCTGCAGCGTGAAGGCCGAGTGTTCCTGGTTCACCCCGGATGGCTGCTCTACGCCGCGGTCACGTGGCAGAGGCCCTGCGAACTCAAGCCCTCGGATTGCCAAGTACTCTTTCCCATTTGGCTGCTTCTAAGTCTTACACCATGAGGCCACACCATGAGGCCATACCATATCACCTCAACTCGACACTTAAGTCCCAGATTTTGCACCACGACCGCGGCTGAGGTTTCCATTCCCACAGCAAGCGAGCTGCCCAAGTTACCTCGACATATGGAAGGATGCTGCGGAAGACCCAGCGAATTTGGATGGGGAGAGCTTGGTGGAGCTTGCCGCTGTCGAGTCCGAAAAAAAAAATGATTTGGGGGTTTGAGTCCACAAGGCAACAACCACGAGTTTGACTAAGCCGCTTACCTTACGAGTAGCTTCAACATCGATGCAAATGTCAGATTCGCCGAGGACTGGAGACCCTAAACAGAGAGCGACTTCCGTGAATAGTGGCGATGGCCCCCACATGGCAGATGTGGCACATAGGGCGCATCTTGAAGGCCCAACTGGCCTAAAGAGGCCTTTTAGATCGTTAATTCAGAGCTCATCCTAATTTAGAGACATGGTGCTAAACCCTACCTATCCAAAGGGCTCGAAAACCGTTGAGTGCACATTCCATGAGCCCCATCAGCCTAGAACCTTACCGGAAAGCAAACCCTCTCTCTGTGAATATCTCTGACTCTCTCAATCTCACAAACACCGCGTGGGAATCACCAACGCCGTGTATGCTCCACGAACAGCGCGGAGGTACTACGGCGGCCGCGTTGTTAGCATCATGTTCGTTTGCGCGTGCTCTCGCCCTTCACTGTCTGAGAGGGACTCTCCTCTCCGTCCTCCCCTGAAGCTCAAAAGCCAGCAATGCGACACAACAGCCGAGGCCTCAGGGCCACGTCACCTAGAGGCTGCTGAGCTATCGGCGCAGGGGCCACAGGAGCAAACTCAAAATTTTTCGGGGGGTGCTTGCCGTTTCGGGTGAAGGCCTCCGGCTTGAAGGGAGGTGTATTTGTGCGTGCGCCTCTGGGTTTCTGAGAGGTGTCCTCGGGGCTTCAGCGTTTGGTCTTGTGGGAAAAGTGTTTGGCACCAAGTGCCCGGGAGCCGGTGCGTGCGAATGGCCAGAGCATGCATGCTATAGCGTTCTTGTTCCCAAGCGCCCCCTATTTTTCTTGTCGTGTTTACGGGCAGTTAACGACGGGCTAGAGGGGCGGTTTCTGTTGTCAGCTTGGGTTCCTACTGCACGGATGCCCCTCAGCAAGTCTTGCCTCTCCAAAAACTTAGCTGAAACCAAAACCTCGACCACTATCACTATCTTACGCCTTGAAACCCTAAAGCCCTTCTGTATCACCTGTAAATTATTATAGCCTGCGCATCAACACCCTAACCTCCAGCCTCAATAAGACAGCGCCGGAAACCTCACACCGCCTCTCAGAACATGTGGCGATGTTGAAGCCTTGCTGACATCATGCAGCCATAGCTCAGGGACCGGCTGGAGGCCCTGTGGTCCCGACCAGACTGGAGGCAGCTGTCACAGTCCAAAGGGCAATACGGCGGTTGGAGGCTTTGCAGTCGCAGCGTGCTTGTGACGTAAGGTTGGGTGCGTTCCTGTCGTGCAAAGGCTTTCGGCGCTGTTCCCGCGGGAGGGCGCGTAGGACCTCCGTCAAACCGAAGACCATGCGATCAGAGGCCTCTAGCCACTCTAGCCCTGCAGAATGTCCCATCCCAAAAAAGTCAAGCACGAACCCCGTGGACTCCTCGTAGACTCCTCGTAGACTGCTGTCGGCTTTGATTGGGGGTCTCAAGGCAGCGAAGGTTTCGGCTGAAGCCGGAGCCAGGCTCCTGCCTTGGGTTGTGCAATGCTGTGCGACGGGGAATGATGGCTATTGAGGAGTAAGGCTTGCTTCGCATCTAGGGTGGTTTCTTGTCAAGCGTTGAGTTGCCATAAGGGTCCAGTGGCTTGGCTTTTGTGTTTAGAAACTCAGG